TGTGGTCATACAACTGGGGAGAAGAGAGACTGTGTTCATTTTAGATCATAAAGCTTATGATTTAAAGAGATTATTACACGGATTATTATCTACAAATGCATGTCCAAGAGAGGCGGAGTTTCCTAACCTGCCTCTGCCATCAACACCGTAAGGTTTCATCACATACTACCTAAGCAAGGCCTACGAGCATCAACCCAAAAGCCTGATTTATAGAAATCCGATCCCTGAAAGACATGTGATAATCAGAGCCCTTCTGCTTACTTTGCTTCATGACAGCTATTAGCTCAAGCTCAGGCTTCAGCTTGAATGACAATTTCCACTGGAAGAACTTCATGCATTTAAGATGGTAAAAAAAGAATAGGAAAGAAAAATGTATTTTTAATAGGCTCCATATGAACTTTTATGGGCTAAGATTAGATTGTTTCCATTACTATTTTCTTGAATTCTTAAATAATCTCATTAGTTTATGAATCTGATTCACCTACATTTATAATCCAACCTTCCCACCTCCATGGCTACAAGTGGTATACTGGGAAATACTTAAAAACCCAGCTCTCTGGGGGAAAAATAGTAAGCATCATGATGTTTACTACAAATTTTACTCTTATAAAGGATGTACGGCATATAATGTATAATGATAATACAATACTCTTTACTGTCAATTCTACATAGCCAACTGATTCTTACAGAATGCTTCCATGACTTTTTGCCAAATTCTTGGATTGCAACCAACCTTTGATTACCACGGATGAAAAACAGTTCCAATATGAATATTGGTTAAAATTGTCATTTAAGTTAACAAGACAAAAATGAAATAATGAAAATGTATGAAGATGCTGTGTGCAGAAATGCAATTGTCAATGTGCAACTGACTTTTTTTTTGCTGAACTGGATATTATCTACTGTATATGCACATAATGGCTAATGTTAAAATGTCAGTTGATTAAAAAAATGTCAGAAGGTAATTAACATTTTCTCCATAATTCCCCCCCCCAATCTCCCTTACTTTTTAAGTCTAAAATGACAGCTAAGAAACAATAAACCAAGCCTTGATTTCCAGGGTGTCAAGATTGTTGTATTTGCAATCAGCCATGGTGACATTATTGAAGGTGGACTTAGGAAGAGATGCAGAGTGGCCACCACTTCATAGTATTTCTATCATGTAGGTGATTCAAGTTGCCAAGAGCCTTTAGTGCATTAGCAAAATGCAGTAGAAGAATTAGAAAATGATAAATTTAAGTCTTCCTTGGCTTTTTAAAATATAATTTAATTGTAAGTCTATGTAATTTTTTTAAGTCTGTATAATTTAACAATGGCTGTGCTCATCAGTTGGCTTTAAAAATTCTTGAAACTGAAAAACTGGCTTTCATTGGTTGATATGAGTGATTCTAGCATACCACAGGACCTCACCTTCTTTTAAAATACTTTTTTTAATGTTATTTTCTATATTAGGGGAAATTCACAAGTACAAAGCAATCTGGGATCCCAATGTTCTCAAAATGGCACTGAAATCAAAACTGTGTCATTAGAGTAATCACAATGAGAAACCAGAATGGTCTTTTAGGTAGCCTGTTCCTTTTCTTCTCTTTATTCTTTCTTCTTCTTCCTCTTTTTTTTTTTTTTTTTAAAGGTTTTATTTATTTGAGAGAGAGGGATCACAAGCGGGGGGTAGGGGGAAGGACAGGGGGAGAAGCAGACTCTCCACTGAGCAGGGATTCGCATGTGGAACTCTATCACAGAACCCTGCATCATGACCTGAGCGGAAGGCAGACGCTTAACCACCTGAGCCACTCAGGCGCTCCTCAATTTAATTTTTTAAGAGCACAGGAATTACTATGTATTTTCCACAGAAATTTTTATGGAAGTTTCCAGCTAAGGAGTGTGAAGTTGGACATAGTAATTCCAAATTAAATCATCTGTATTTTTCATACTAGTTATTCTTCTTCTGTGGAACAGAAGCAATATTAGCCTCCCCAATTATGAAAAAAAGGTTATTCACTATTCATGAACTATTATCGTTAAGTTATAGGAGCCAGAAGTTTTAAACATTATCAGCATCGTCTCAAATGGGACAAAACATCACACCTCCATATCACAAACCTGGTGTAAGGGCCTGAGTCCACAAGATGTGCATCTGCTCCATTGCCGCGAGGTCCACGCAGTGCGCGTGCTGCTGCGGGGCTGGGGTCTGTCAGGCCTGGGTCTCATAAGGCGCTTACACAGGAGAAGGGTGACGTACTTCAACAGCTGGCAATTCTCCCACCAAAGTCCCATCATTTCGGTCACTTTAAAATACCCTTTCTCCTATTTACAAAGTGGATGGGAACTCAAGGGGCAGCTGATGACCGAGCAGACACGCGAGGAAAAGTCCCGCATGCCTGGCTCAGCTCCCTGAGATTCTGACACCGGCCGGCGCCTTCAATATGAGCCCAGCTTTCCCGAGGTGGATTCCGCACCCGCCCCCACCCCCCAGGTGGAATCTTTAGTGGGGATCCTCAAGCAATCCAACTGAACTGCTCTAGCACAATTAGGATTTTACTCAATCTGGGGCCTGTGACTGAAATACAAATGAAGTTTGGAAACATTGGAAAGATGATGGCTGGACTTAATTTATACCGATCGAAAGGGGGATCTGTTGGGCACGAAGAACGAGAGAGAAGGGCTCGGGTCTGACTTCTTTGCTGCTCTTGAACTTCAGCTGGCAGCGGAGGAGTCTGCAAAGACTACGCAGAATTCTCTGGCCTCAGAACCGTACCTTCTTCCAACGACCCTATAGGAAAGGATATTCATAACCCACTTTCCCACCGTTTTTATCTCCCATTCTCCATCTGAAGTAAGAGCTCGCTGAAGACCCTAGCATAGGTAAGGGAAAGAAGGCGACTTTCTGCTTAGTGTGAAAAAGATATTTACTGAATACCTACCAAACCTTCACGCTGACAGGTATTGGCTGAGTACATATACATAGCTCATAATTTCAACAACCGCACAACCTCAATATTATGACTGCTAAATTCTGTATGAGGAAACGGGAGTTTGAGAGAGAGAAAATAATTTGCCCAGGTTCAAAGAGCTTGTAAGCGGCAGACCCAGGATTCATAGCTAGCTTCTGTCTGATATGATTCTGAAGTCCTGCTGTTTTTAAAAAAACAATTTGTTACACAAAAAATACTTTTAAAATATTAGATTAGAACATGAAAGTGCATCTGTGTTTTTCATTTGGTTTTTAATTTCTGCTTCCCCTTTCAAAACCCATTACTCTGCAAATTAATAGGAACATTATAAGAATAAGACATGACAGGGTGTTTATTGCCGCTGCTTCTTGGGTGGTTGTGGTATGCGGCCTTATGATTAAACCTACAGTAAAAGTATGGCAGAGTCCCAGCGTGGCACATCTTAACGTGTTTTATGGTTGCAAGGGGGAATTACCAAGGTTTTGCAAAACTTTTAGACCTTGTGCAAGACCTCGATAGTAAAAAATACATAACTGTTTTAAAGTGCAAAAGCACTGCCTAACGTGCAATGTTCACAAAATTCTATCATTCAAAATCTCCAGAAGCCTGAAGCAAGCAGCTTGCTTCTCCGCCGTAATCTCAGCCATGAGAGAAACAGCAACTTCAAAGTACTATGAAACTTTAATCAATTATTTCTCCTAAGAGCTGTAGGAATATTATTCTATCCTTTGCTGGTCTGCCCCCAAAATGAAGAAGATATAAAATGGAGATTAAACTGAGTTTTTGATAACTGGATCTCAAAGGGAAAAGGGGGAAGAAGAAAGAGATGAAGGGAGACCAAGGCAGGCACTGAGAGCAGAAACTCATGGAATGTTGACTGCCGAGTAATAGAACTTTGGTGGCGAAACCAGGAAATAAAGACTCATTTTCAGAATGGGCTTGTATTAGAAACTCTGTTGTTTCACCTCAGTCTGCTGTGTACCTTAGGCATGTATTTTTAAGTTCTTAGAAGGCAGAACTACATTTGTAACACTGTTTTACATAAAACTTAGCTTAATAGTAAATGTATGAAAATGAAAAATGCTATGATGATGATATGCAAATAGGCAGCTAAGATTTGATAACAGATGGGAAGTTTCAGGTCATATACCTACACAGACAAAGACATTATTTTTCTAAAATCTGCCTCTTTTGAATATCACATAAAAGGTAGATAAAAAAAAAATGAACTGAGAGGATGCATTCAAAAGCAGATTACAAGAGATCATAATCTCCCTCGCCCCGAAGGAAAGCAGTGTGTGAATACTTTAAGAGCACACATTGGCCCTAAGCACCCAGAACACTGTTCGTACTTGCCTGATACGGATTTTTTTTTTTTTTTGGCATCACTAAGTCCAATGTGTTTTTTAAAATATTATTTTCTTAAATTTTTTTTTTTCTTCAAAGAAAAGAGGCAGAAAATTATCTCAGGGAAAAAAAAAAAAAACAAAAAAAAAAAACCCAGGAAGAAAGCTGTCATGTTCTGTGTTTCAACTCACAAAAGAATTCTGACTAGAGGCTTGAGCCTTTCAAATCTCTTGTCATTCAGGATATGAAATTCTAATCTAGCGGCATGGCCAGTTGAGGCTGAGACTTAATCAAATATGCTGACTAGCTGAGACAGGAGGTGGCTCACTTCCTTACTTCTGGTTTCCATCTTTAGTTGGCTCCTCACTTGCAAATTATGACAGACCCTTGCTGTGCAGGCAATGAAAATTCCAAGGTAGGGAAGGAGAATCAGTGGGCACCTAATTGAGTTTTACTAGATGAAAAGTTACATCACCCTGCCTCACCTCAGTCTCTTCTGTCTTTAGGGAATTGCTGAATTTTATATAAAGCCTATTTATAAACCCCTGCAAGTGATACTTGCATTCATCTGCACTGTGACATCATTTCCTCATCAATAATTTAAGCATAAGAAATGGATTAAAGGGACTCTGAAGGGACTTCTCACACATGAAAAAACAGAACCCGGATAAACTCTCCAAAAGATTAATTCAGGCTTCTTACCTTGTTCTTTGATCTGACGAATTTGCTTCACAGTTTCTTTTAAGATTGCACATTTGTCAGGTTTGAAGTTAAAGTTGTCTATATCATTAAAATTTGCAAAAATCAGCTCTGCAAGTTCTTCGATGTATTTATTTTCCTGTTCACGATTACGTTTCTCAGTGCTCCTCTTGGGACTATTAAAAAAAAAATAAGCATGTTAAACAAGTTCTAATATAAAGATAGCAAACAAAAGTTACTTATCTAAACATGGAAGTACTTTGCAGAGGGAAAAAAACCCCTCAACTTGCCTTAAGTGTTGCATGTGTTTTTTCTGAAATCAAACTCATCCCAGTATATGATCACAGATTTACTTGCGTGACTGTTTGTTCTATGTATATCATGTCTTCCACTGGACAGTAAGCTTCACGGTGACAAAGCTCAGGATGATTTGCTCATCACTGTGCTTAATACAACACCTGGCAGAGGCAGGCATCAAATTTATTGTTGAATACACAGAGGAAAAGTTTTAGAAAAGTAAGGCAGATTATGTTATAAAATTTTTAAAAATTTACTAGGGTTAGTAAAAGAAGAAAGGGAACCTAACCTCGTTATAATGGGAATAAATACACTGTGGGGATTTTTGGTAAAGTTTAAAAAGATAAAAGTAAATCTCCATAATTTCATAGACTTCTTTAGGATGTTGGTTATCAAACCAAACAATTATTTTTAGATAATGCAAAAAAACCACAGTACAGTCAGAAACAAAAAGTGAAACTGACCTAGGGTATTTGTTAACTATCCAAGCTGAATGACGTACAAAATATATACAAATGGTCCAAGTTCAACTAAAGTTTTAAAAAATTAATGCAAGGGAGGGAAAAATAAAAATTGGCAAGATCTTCTCATTTCAATTTGACAAAACAGCAAGTTCCCTTTGATAATAACAGCATACAACTAGTTTTTTTTTTAGTAGAGGGCCCACTAAATGCCATTCAAACTACACAATAAATAAGGAATGTAAGTTGTTTCATGCAGCAGCTTTCTATATTTATAATATATATAATACTAATTGATAAGAATTTGTAGTCTGTAATAGACTTCCATCTATTTGCCTCCAAGTATCAGCTTTATTTTCACAAACTAATAAAGCTGAGATAGAAGACAATTTCTCCATTTCACAGTGGTTACACAACTTGTCCAAGATCACCCAGTGAGTTACTGGTAGAGACGGGCCCAGAATTTGGTTTTTTGACATCTCATTTTTATTCCTAGCTTCTACTTCACTAAGTACAGGGAAAGGTAGGGAGTGGCTGGGACACCTGGAGGAGACAAGTTGCCCCCTGGACCCCTCAGCCCCCCTCAACTTCTCTTCAGCTCCCTCTCCCCACAAGACGGATGAACACATGACAAATAGGTGAGAAAGGGGAACTGTGTTACAAAAGACCTGAGAGCGCAGGGGAGGGGGTCTGGAGGCTCCCCGCCCCGCACCAGGGCACCAGCGCAGCAAGACACAGGAGAACTGCCCTCCGTCAAAATGGTCTCCATTTTATCAAACTGCCTCCTCGAGTGGACTTCCGGGCATTAAAGGCAGTTTGCCAGACAGATGGCTGTGGACAGCCAGGAGGTACTGGGGAACCTAGAGGCCACATACTGCAGCCGAGGGTTGGGGGCTGGGATGTGTTCAGTAGCAATTTAATAGACTTGTTCTGTTTGGCAGGAAAAGGGGAAAAGGGAACATAAAATATTTTTGCTCTTTCTCCCTCTCTTCCTGTCTTAATGACTTTTCCTAGTCCTCTGCCCTGTTCTTCTCCAGCTGATCTTTTTACTGGCTATTTAAGAGAAGTTGCTGCTTTTATTGAACTTTTTATTTTATTTTATTTATTTATTTTTTTAAAAGATTATATTTATTCATTTGACAGAGATCACAAATAGGCAGAGAGGCGGGCAGAGAGACAGAGAGAGAGAGAGAGGAGGAAGCAGGCTCCCCGCTAAGCAGAGAGCCCGATGCGGGGCTCGATCCCAGAACCCTGGGATCATGACCTGAGCCGAAGGCAGAGGCTTTAACCCACTGAGCCACCCAGGCACCCTTTATTTTATTTTTTTTAAAGATTTTATTTATTCATTTGACAGAGATCACAAGTAGGCAGAGAAGCAGGTAGAGAGAGAGGAGGAAGCAGGCTCCCTGCTGAGCAGAGAGCCCAATGCGGGGCTCGATCCCAGGACCCTGGGATCATGACCTGAGCCGAAAGCAGAGGCTTTAACCCACTGAGCCACCCAGGAGCCCCTACTGAACTTTTTAAATCATTTACATGATTTAAGTAACCAAAAGATTGAAGTCTCTATCCTACCTTTGTTCCCTATTAGACTAGTTCTCATCCCCCAAAATGGGTTAACAACTCTTAAGTGTTTCTTCATTATCCTAAAACAAATGGTTTATACGAAGGGGTGGTTTATACAAAGGGTAGTACTCCATACTCATGCTTCACAACTTGTTTTTCTCTGTAACAATGTTTTTAAGAGATTCTTTTTATATCAATCCATTAAACATCTTCACTCTTTTTCATTGCTGTATTGCATTCCAGATTATGGAGGTATCATAGCTACTTAAATAGTTCCCTATAGACACTTAAGTTTTCCCTAATCTTCTGCAATTGTTAAACAATGCTGTAATAAGTAACCTCAGTGTCTATCATTTTGCCAGTGTGAAAGCATACTCTGGGAAAATTCCTAGAAGTGGACTGCAGTTCAAAGAGGATACACATTTATAATTTTACTAGACCATGCTAAATTACCCTGCATGGAGATCAGAGCAACTCACACTTCCATCTATAATATATGACATGGAACTTGCTTTAAATTACTTGTTTTACTCACTGAAGGCCCATAATCTTTGTCACCAACTCAAAAAAATAAATAAAAATAAAACAGTGTAAAATTAACAGCAACTTCTGCTATGGGATCTTCTTGTCTTTATCATGTCTTGTGATCTAACAGAAAAAATGTGGAAGACTCAAAATCATATAATAAGCCCGCTTTAACAGTCAAGTACACAGGTGACATCAGAAGCAGCATGAAGCTTTCGTCTTCTTGTAAAGAATAGTAAAATCTGTAACCAATCAGCATAACCAAAATGTAAGCCAAATAATACATATTCAAGGTTTAACTGTTAAGGAGAAAAACCAAACACAGTATTTTGACGGGGGTGGGGTGGGGTGGAGAGGGGGTGTCAAGTCAGTGCTGCACGCACGTGACTTTCATGGGGAATACTGATTCTGTTTCTCAGCAAGTTCTAACCTGGGTCCGAGCTGGTCAGGACATTCCTTGCGCTTTCTTGTCTCTGCCCTGGATGGGTCAGAGGTGTTTTCTCCAATCCCACTCATCTTGAACACATATCAGCAACTAAAACAAGAAATGGGGAGGGGAGAAGAGAGAGAGAACAGAGCTGATGATAAAGTGGCTGATCAATTTACCACCAATAAAAGAACTTCAACTTCAATCAGAAATTTGACCACAGTTACTAACACATTGTTTGGATTAATATGCACGTGTAACTCCTAAAGAAAGGGCTCTATTTTTTTTTGACCTTGTTTAAAAGTTAAGTGTTCATCAAGGTTCACACTTCAAAAGCCAACAAGCCTACCTCACTGGGCCCAGACTCTTTAAGCAGATGATGTATTTCAGCAGCACCATGAACTACAACCAGCTGGCCCCAGGTTTCTGCAGCCTGCCTTCGGTTTCAGGAGTGATCTTGCACCACGGGGAAACTACAGGTGCTGTAAGGGGCTCCTCCCGGTCTCTGTTTGGGGTTGACCAATGTGAAGTCTCACCCACGACAGACAGCCCTGGGAAGAGGCAGTGCCCCATCACTAAGCTCAATGTTTCCAAATCTGCCCAGGTACAATGGACCCTGGCCCTACACGAGGCTTCCAGAAGCAATGCTCCCCAAAGAGAGGAGGTCGTGCCTCCCGGTGGAGTCTCCCGTTCCCTCCACCCCTGCAGCAGCTGCCTTGCTGCTCCGCCCTCAGTGCCCTCTCTCCCCGGCAGCTCGCCTTCCTGAGCACACCTCCCCTCCGTGGTTTCCTCTCTCACATCCTGCCGCTCCTGATACTCCCTCCCTTGGCTAATTCTAGCTGCTATCACCAAAGGTCTTAAAATATCCTTAAAAAAAAAAAAAATCAGGGAACATTACTGACCCTAATGAAGGAGGACAATTACTAGCTCCTGCTTGCTGGGTTCCTTCCAGTAAGAAAATAAAAGGACATAAAGTAAGGGAATCAGTGTGTTCACATCAGTCATCATTAATAAAATCAAAATAATATTTAAATACGCAAAGATCAGGGTGACAGAGGTTTAAATTCTACGAGAACTAAACAAAAGAACTAACAAAGACACTGGGGGAATGATGTAGTCGCTTCAGCACACAGTGCTTAATAACTGCTTAGCAAAAGAAAAAAAAATGCAGCATAAAAAGATGACGTCAGCATTTAAACGTTTTTCTTAGAGTTCCAGTTCTCTGCAGCTTCCCCCTTCCTTCTGTCTCCCCGGCGTCTAAAGTCACCTTTGCCCTTTTCTTCCTTTCTAGACTGGAAAAACCGGATGGAAGGGCAAGACAGTAGAACACATCAAGAACTTCAGAAAAAGGCCAGAGAGTAACAGGTTCAGGAAGAAAGGACAAAGAGGAAGGTGGGCTAAGAAAGCAGCACCCGGGGACGCCTGGGTGGCTCAGTTGGTTAAGCGGCTGCCTTCGGCTCAGGTCATGATCCCAGCGTCCTGGGATCGAGTCCCACATCCAGCTCCTTGCTCATCAGGGAGCCTGCTTCTCCCTCTGCCTCTGCCTGCCATTCTGTCTGCCTGTGCTTGCTCTCTCTCCCTCTCTCTCTCTGACAAATAAATAAATAAAATCTTTAAAAAAAAAAAAAAAGACTCAGGTAACCTGAAGCTTTAAAAAAAAAAAAAAAGAAAGAAAGCAGCACCCAAGACCAGTCACTGTAGCACTGTCACATACCCATCAAACTGCACAGCCTTCACTCCGTGAAATCTGCAGCGCTTAGTCTCCCTACAAGCACTCCTTCTGGTCACAGCTCTGATCCAAGGGGGCTGAGCAATGAATTTTCTTGAGAGTCATGTGGAAGCAGGATGAAGAAACACTGTATCATTGAAGGAGGCTGCACCAACTGCACATTATATTCACGAGGTCACACAGGAGGGGACAATCTGAAAGTTAACGCCTGAGCTTCCTGCCTTGGGAGCAATGTAGCCAAGCCCCAAGGTCCTGTACCGTGGGCACATTTTGGGGCTGATAATAAGTATAATCTGTATTGAGTTATTCATTTAGCATTTACTATGCATCCGGCAACTGCTGGACACGATTTAATCATCAAAACAGACTATGAGGGGCAATTGGGCAGAGCAGCTGTAGCCACGTAATCCGTGTCCCAGCTCTCCCACTTGGTTAGCTGTGAGATCTTAAGAAGTTACCTCTCGTGGCTTAATGACCTTTTCTGTTAAATGGGGATAAGCATAGCATCTCCAGCCCAGGGCAGCTGAGCAGCTTAGCAAATGGCAGAGCTGGGGTTATTTGTTACAGGGTTACACACTCCTACTTTAAACGAAGATGTTATGGCGAGGGTCTCCTCATCAAAGAGGCCATTCTTCCAGTAATCACATAAGCACAGCTCAGGAGGGAGGAGCTGCAAGATCCGGACTGTGCTGGTCCCCGTGCTTGACTCTTTGCGCTCATCTCAGTGTCACTGTCATTGTCAATGTCACTCATTCACCCATTCGTTCATTCATTCACCCATTCATTCATTCACCCATTCATTCATTCATTCATTCATTCATTCAAAGACTGCCTGACTGCCTCTAAGTGTCAGGCTCGAAGCATGAGGAGGAATGTTGCTCTCCAGAAGAAAACAAGGTAAGAGAAGAGATACAACTGTACATGGGGAAATGGTAGTAAGTAAACTTGGTAAAAGTATTCTGTAACAGGCGCACACCCCTACGTACTTTAAGGTCCAAGAAAGAAGAACACTGCTGGCTGGGCTAGGGAGGTACTGAGCTGGCCTTGAGGAAGGCCTAGGCGTTCTGATGGTGAGGAAGGGAGCCAGGGCATTGCAGGAGGTATAAAAAGACAACGGGTGAAGCAATAACCTCAACACCAAAACCCTTCTTGGATGATACTCATGAACATTCCTTTTCTCTATTTCTCTTGGAACCACAATTCTCATGGTTTCACTTATGAGCATGTAAGGGAAAACATTACCCATCCAATCTAAGTAAGCTTTTAACAAGTGACCTCCAGGATTTTCAATGTGAAAGGAGTGTTCTATAAATCATAAAAATTCAAGTAAATTTTTATCATCAAAATATAACAATATATAACAAAATGCCCTCTATAGCAGCTGTATGTGTTAAGTCTGTTGATTAAAATGGTTATTCCCCCCCCACACACAAAGTATCACCATATATATTAAAAAATACAGTACTATCAGAAAGATCAGAAAGCTTTTCAAAAGATTATCTTACTTAAAGTCTGTACTTAGTTTTGGGATTTAACATTAGCTTTAGCCATCATCTATCTTAAATTTCCCAAAATAGATATCCTAGTAATTGTAATGTTGCACGGAGGGACAGAACTGATATATTTCAACTGAGGGGCTAGAAAGAGACAAGGAGCAGAGCAAGGTGCTAACAATTTCTGGTCTAAGTATAGAAAACCATTTGAGCAGACCGTTTATATTTTACTTGAGTCTACTCAACACTGGCTCACAAACCACTCTACTTGTAACTTTAAAACATGATTAATTTCTTCTTTAAGTAAGTTATTATGGGCTAAATTTTCTCTTTTATTATTATGTGATGGTACCTTAAACACATTTCCTCAAAAAAAGAAAAAAGTTTTATGAACATGCTTACTTATTTTTTGATGTCTACCCCCTATGTCCTCTTTTCTGAGCAACCTTCCTGAGGCTACGTATACCCAGTGCACACCACCAACCAACCTGTAAACCACCAAAGAAAAAAGAGGGGGTCTGTAGCAATTGGAGGCAGGTGGATGCACTCTGCCAGCCGAGGTATCAGGCTGGGGATGTTCCCTCTGAAACTCTGCTCATTAACCAGGGGAAAAAAGATGAGCCTCTCAGGTGGGGAAAAAAAAAAAAAAGAAGAGGAAGCAGGAAGGCAGGAAAGAGAAAAGGAAGGAAGGAAGGAAGGAAGGAAGGAAGGAAGGAAGGAAGGAAAGGAAGAACTAGGAAGGAAGGAAGAACTAGGAAGAAAGGAAAGACAAGAAAGAAAGAAAAGGAAGGAAGGAAGGAACAGAGGGAGGGAAGGAGAGAGAGAGAAAGGAAGGGAGAAAGAAAGCAAGTGAGAGAGCAAATTCAGGGCTGAAGCCTAGAAAGGAGGAGGGTGGCGGAGGTGCTGGCAAGCAGCAGGTCCTGGGCTCCTCCTTTTTGCCTGCCACAGGGCTGGAAGCAGATGAAATCCCGGAGCAGACGTGTGGATTTATGCCCTGGTCCTTAGTGGATGAACCAAATAAATAACAGTGAGCCTCATTAACGAGGTGCTCAAAGAGAAGTGTGGTGCTCTAATCTAGAGGACTCTAACTGATACTCTTCATGCCTTAGGTGAGGCTCTGCTGACAGCAAGCACCAGGATTTCACACAGGAACCTGCTCTGGGGCTAGGTGAGTGAATTTTTTTTCCCCCGCTCAAGTGACACAGCTACAAGAGAAAGAACGACAGCTTCAATACACAGATTTATGACCCCTAGTGTGCACTTAGGCATAGACAAATCAACTAAAATAAACGTTATGGATAGATGAGTTTTATTTATTTATTTATTTATTTAAGATTTTAATTTATTTATCTATCTATCCATCTATCTATTGGGGGGGGCACCCAAACCAGCACAGGCAGGGGGAGCAGCAGGCAGAGGGAGAAGCAGGCTCCCTGCAGAGCAGGGAGCTTGACACTCGATCCCAGGACCCCAGGATCATAACCTGAGCAGAAGTCACTTAACTGACTGAGCCACCCCAGGGATCCCTGGATTGATGAGTTTTAATGCATTTTTGTAGACCAAAGTCAAAAATCAATTCCCAACAGAAGGGTAAGAGAGAGAAATAGTGACGGGCAGCAGTGAAGGTTTAGAAATCCTATTTTATTTTGTAAGCGGGCTAGATTAATAGTTTCTTAAAGTTTCCGCACGTTTTCAACATTCCCGTGAAATTAAAATTCTCGAGCGTTTCACTCTCAGTTCCGAATCGGTTCAATGTAAATCACAACAACTGAAAACGACACAAGCCAACTCTTGGGTCGTATCTGATGGTAATTACAGTCATTGAGAACAAGCCAGTCTCTACCAGATGTGGGGGGTTGTGAAAGGACAAGTCTGGAAAAGGAGTT